ATTTTCCTGCATTCTGACATGGTGAGACTATCTTGCTTGAAATATTCCCCAGCATTGCATTTTCCATTGACAGGTACTTTATCTACTGAAACTTTAAAAGCACTTTCCCCTAGTTAGAATTTTAGTTCCTCTCCCTCTTTTATATATGTACATTCTCAAAGACATCAATAGGATCTCCAGTGCTTTACATGAGCTGGCTACATAAATCTATTTTATTTTATTAGGCCATGTTGTTCTGCAGTGGCCATTTCATAGGTCTATTTCCCATCTCCTCCTCATCATGTTATACAATCTCACTTGAAAGATTTTTGTATTTTTCATCCCAAGAGAATTCACCTCAGTAAACTTCAAGGAAGAATCTAGAGATCTGGAGAACATCTTTTCTACCAGAGACATAAGAGTGACATGCACTCTAGAGGAATCAATCTATTTTCATTCAGTCATTATTTTCTAAAATTAAGAAGAGAATTTATACTCAGTTTACAAATTCCTCATCCTGTTCTTATTTTCTTATCAGTTGGAATTTTGCATAACACAAACTGAGCTAAAATTCAACCATATCTCTGAGTTTCTTTCAGATTTTATTTGTGATTTTTCACAAAGGAAAACCTCTCATTAACTCAGTGATAGAATTCAACTGCACTTCCCTTTTTTAGCCTCCATTAAATCATCAGCTTGATAATTAGGAAATATTATTAGACTTAAATCCCCATAAGGTATCTGTCTTCACTTTCCAACCATCAAAGTCTATACAGAGGATGGTTCCTATAGCTATTTTTACCTTCTAACATTTATCCAACACTCCTGAGCCATCACAGTCATACAACATGAAGTTCTGCCTGCAAATACATTATAAATTTGGGGTTTTGTTTTTCAGTATGTGATCTCAGCTTCAGAATAGAGATCATTTCAAACAGTGTCTTGGCATGAACTCAGTAACACTGTTTAGGGGTTTGGTAGAGAGTGTTTCAATGAGGCTATCCCTTAATGATGTAATTCATGAGCTGGGCTTAATCCTGCCACGGTACGGTTTATATGAGATTTATATGTCAGTTTATATGATTTAATGGAGGTGAATAGTTACAGCATCACAAAGTTTAGATTAAAAGACTCATAATCATTGATTAACCTAGGTTATAAGAGTGAATAATGAACATGGGCTTCTTATTTTTACCACATTGATAGATCACCATAGTGAGAAAAAAATATAGCTCTGACTTTACCAAATAACTGATATTAGACTCTACCATGTTGTCCCAAAACAGGAAAGCTAGCAGGCTAAATATTCAGGCTATCCTCAAACATTACATCAAAGCTTTTCCAGCTCCTGAACCTACTCAGGCATGTCCAAGCTGATGTACTCAGCAGAATGTTCCTTTTCAATAAAGCACTAGTTCTTTCCAGCCTCAAATCTCCTGAATAAACAAATGCACATCTCAGATGTATCTCAAAATGCAATACTTGAATAAATGTTTACTTGAATAATTAGGCTTTCAGTGGATACATTTAGACATCATTAAAATGGCTTATTACTATACTGATGCTGGTCAGCACAGAACTGAAATGTTGGACTGTATGTGTGAGTAACAGGCTAGGCTGCAATGAATCTCAAAGTATATAAGAGGATGCAAAAAAGATTGATAAAAATAAAAGCATCATCTACAAAACAGCATAACACACCCTCAGCTGCTGCTTCTGCAGAGCTTCTGCAGTGCTTTAGAAAACAGTCTGGAACTGTTAACATTTGTGCAGTTTTTAAGGTCAATGATGCTGACAATATTAAGTGTCAAATGCTTTACTATTACTGCCTTAAAGAAAGTACAAATAAAACTCACCTGCTAGTTCACAAAACGTACAGAATAATAGCTAGAAAAAATCAACCAGGAAAGGAAACCATTTTTTTCCATGAGTGGTTTTATCTACCATCAGACATATTACAAGGTCAAAAGGTGGCTTTTTCATTGATCCCGAATCATTTGTATTTTGACAGTGAGAGCCAGAACCATATCTGTTCTATGGAATCATTTATATGCATCATTTGTGTTATTATCATAGTCACAGCGTTATTACTGGTAATTCTCTGGAATCACAGAATCAGAGAATTGCAGGGGTTGGAAGGGAACTCAAGAGGTCATTGAGTCCAACCCCCCTGCTAAAGCAGCTCCCTACAGCAGCCTCACAGGTTGGCGTCCAGATGGGTCTTGAATATCTCCATAGAAGGAGATTCCACCACCTCTCTGGGCAGCCTGTTCCAGTGCTCTGTCATCCTTACCAAAAAGAAGTTCTTCTGCACGTTTGTATGGAACTTCCTATGTTCAAGATTTAGACATAGCTCCTTGTCCTATCACTATGCACCACTAAGAAGAGCCTGGCCTTATCCATTTGCCTCTCACCTCCCTTTAGATATTAAAATTAATCAGATCCTCCATTATGCACCACTGATGACAACTCTCTGGGCTCTGACAGTCAGCCAGTTCTCAATCTACCTCAACATCCACTCATCTGTGCCATACTTTCAAAGTTTCACAACAAGGATATTGTGGAACATCCAGGGGAACTCTTCAGTGACCCAGAGAGGGCTTGGGGCAGATAATAACATGATGACATATCAGACATCTATATACAGTATCACCATTGTCCAAAACCTTAAAGGAATGTTATTTGATAATTTGGTAGCAACCACAGCCCTGTCTTGTACCATCATTTGCAGAAGTGGGATGGAATTGTACTCTTTCTGAAGACAGCTTATTACAAATACTCATCCATGTTGGTCAGATTCCATTTGGAAGGCAAATATTAACACACTGATGCAGTAGGAAGTGGACTTCATGAATTCATTTCACACATAGGCCACCAATGTATGGTTTATCTCTGGATGAAAACTCATTATCCCATACAATGCATCTGCTAACCTCTTACAAAAAAAAAAAAAAAAAAAAACCTCAGTAAATTCCAAAAATAAATACAAAATAGATGACAACATACCAAACATGTTACATCCATCCATCCATCCATCCATGCCCTTCCCCCTTCATCCTAACAATAACTGTCTAACTGTCTGGTATGAGGACACAGCTATTGTCGTCCAACTGTAGTGCCAGTTTTGTTTTGCTTTGTAGACTTAGCAATGCTGTAGTATGACTTGATTTAATGAGGCTACAGCAGTACAACTTTTCCCCCCCAAATCAGCACTAGAATGGCTGAAGTACCAATTTGGTGTAATCTCATCTCTAGCAGAACTATATGTGTGCTAATAGGGGAAAAAATATTTTAAAAATGCAGAATGTTAGTCCCAGTACATCTGTTCTGGTGAACTCATTTAGAAAGCATTGATTGGGCAAAACCATGATTTCACCTGCAAGTGGAACACAGTGGATATTTACAGAACTTACTTGTAAAAAGTTCAATCTTTCAGCTGATCAGAATGCCAAGTCTGCCTTGATGCTGATGAGATGAGCCAGGACCTTGGCAGTTATCACTGAAGTTCATTCAGATATAAGATGCTAGAAATACAGAATTTGCCATTAGTTTACATTTTCTGCAGTAACTTTCAAGCAGAAAGTGACAGCTATTCTGCAAGCACAAATCTAAGTCAATCTTATTTGTTCCGTAATGCCAGTGTTTTACAAGATGATCTGAAGTCCCTTATTCATCCAGTTCAGACACGGGTTAAGCCTTGAAATTCATTTACATGTCATAACTGCTAGAAACTAACTGTGGCCTTCCACCTTGAAGTTTTTTTGTGCTGTTGTTCTTCCCATTGATATCCCTATATCTGTACCTGTCTCACTACGGTGAAAAACTGCAAACCATGCTGCTTTTGCTTTGGAAGCTCCAGTATTTCCTCTCTGAATGAATATATCCTAGTCAGTTTTGTTCTATCTTGAGCTGCTATTCAATTCTTAAGCATCAAGCAGTGTAGATGGTGCAAGCTCAATGGCTTCAGGGTCCATACATCTGTTACTCCTGTGACTGCTGCTGAAGCATAGAGTCCGGGTTGGCAGATGGAAGATTTGCCTTTGAGGAGAAATAGGTCATATATCAGAAAGTAAAAATAGAGATACAGATGCAGTCTTTCTTCCCCAGTAGACTGGTAATTTACTCAACAATACTCTTAATAACTGAAGGAGCAGCTACTTGGGAGCAATTCTCCAAACATTATGGAAGATAGCATTGCCTAGCAAACACAGGAGGTCTGATGACACAGGTCTCAGACAAGGTACAAGCCAAGTACTGGTGGTGAGGAGCAATAAGCAGGGGATTCAGTGTAAATGTTTTGCTTGGGACATACTAGAGTTTTGACTGTTAAAAGAGAGTCATTTTCTTCAGGAAAGCTCAATTTCTGCATGTGCTTTATTACTCCTCTGCTTTATTTCAGCTTATATTTTTACCACAGTTAGTCCATTTACATGCAGTTACTGGGATTCCACTGAATTTTTTCATCCAATCACTGTCCCTACAGTGACTGCTCTGTTTGTTCTCATCCCCAGTCAGATCCCACGCTACTCTGAAAGAATTCTAACCTCACATGTAAATCAACTCCAGCTAACACAAAGTGAATAAGAGAGAAAAGGCAGGAATAGAAGCACAAAAAAAGACCTGCAATAACATGCAGGGGCTAGCACAGGGGACCTCTGATACCAGGCTGAACCTAATCTTTAAGGTGAGCAACAATGACACATTTATGTTCATATGCTTAGTGAAGAGGCAACAGCAAGCTGTAGTTAGAAGAAATCAAAGGCCTTCATTTTTGTAAATAACAGTTAAAACGACACTGTAAAGTTTGAGAAATTATAACTGAGGGTGCTACATTAAAGGAGAGTGGTGAAGGTGAGAAGGAACAAATCATACATCTCATGACAGAAGGTTGCAAGTTTTTTGAAGGACTACTGAGAAGCCTCAGTGGAGGACGTGGTATGGTTAATATAACTTGAGTTTTCAAAGAGAAGGCAATAGTTCAAGATACTTCATCAAAGCTGACTCAAACCAGCTTGTTTTAAAGAAATAAAAATCCATGCAGAGAGTGCTTTTCTACTCTTCGCACTGAACTCATCTTCTCCACCTACAGAAATGAGCCCAAAACAACTGATGAACTGCTCAGGGATGTAACATAGTTGTAGACAGCACAGTTACAATAACAACAACAAAGAACTGAGTAAGGTTCATAGTAGCTCCCTTAAAGACAGCAAAAGAACATACTGGTCTATTTAGTGGAAAAAAGGTGGCTAAAGTGCCGAGGGGGAAGGTAAATAATTGCTCAAAGCAACATAGAGTTTGTCTTAAAACAGCAGCAGCTGACCTTCTCCAAAAAGCTGCAGTTACGCAGCAACTGTGCTATATGCAGAAGTAAAGATTAAGTGCGTAGTGCATACAAAGGTTATGCTGGTAAATCAGGGATGTCTCCACTGGGAGTCTGACTGCTGGGAGGTGGGACGAGAGCAGAACTGCATCCTGCGATCACCTTAAGCAGAGAGGAATCTCAGTATGGGCATAAAATAGTAATTACAGGATTAACATCTTTTTTCTGTGAAGAAGCTTCAGTCTGTCCTACGGTGCTTGCAAAGGACAGGTAAGTTCTTTTTTTTTCCTTCCTTCCATGTATATTTCCATGGCAAGTTTCAAAACACACAATACTGTACACTTTGCTGAACTCCTCAGATGTAAATGACAACTTCCACAGAATTTCCCTATCATTGCTTTGGAGAATCTTCATGGCTACAGCCTTTTATCAGCAGGCTGCATTTATTTCCTTATGAAATCCAGCCAAATGCTACTGACAACAAATTCCCCCTTTCTCTTCTGCAGCTCCCAAAAAGCCTTTTGGAGTTCTGGTTCACAGGACATACGTGTGGGTCTTAGAGTGTTGTAATCAGACAATCAACCTTTTCTCTTGACGTAGAAGATGACCTCTGCTAGGTCTATAATTTATTCACGTGACTTTTACTAACAGGTCCTACAGCACAAAGTTATATCCAGCTCTTCTCACGCTGCTGTTCCCAGCTCCTGCATTTATTAACCAGAAAGCCTTCCAAATGTTATCTGGTAGCACAAATTAAGCAGTTTTGTTCTGCGGATCGTGTTCCTTAGCTCGCTCTTTCATTTCCTCTCATTCAACATTATCACATTATGTTCCCTCTTCTTATGTGCTTTTCCTCTACACAAAGCTCTTTAAACAGCTGCAAAGGGGGAGGGACCACAATGCTTATGAAAACTCCACTTTGCAGAATGCTTCTGCCAGGTCCTACAGTCTGTCTCTTTCCAGGGATTTAATACCTCCAAGATTCAGGATTGCTTTTACATCTCTTGCTTGTGCAACCCTGACAACAGAGCCTACTGCCAGCTGTCTTAATTGAAGAGCAGTAACCACCTCTTCCTGTTACTGCCATGAGGAATACGTACACTCTCTTTCTCTTTGTAGTGGGCTCCTTCTATTTCAACGGTAAGTGATCTTTTCTTTCAGATACAGTTTGCAGAGCAGTGATAGCTTTTGTGGCTAGGAGGTAGGACAGTGATATAAGCTCTCAAACTGTTTCTACCACTTCAGTAGCTTGCAGAATTTAAGAAGATGCATGAAATATATTGTTTTAGTATTGTTTATGGCTCATGAGATAGCAGCAAATCCACTATTATGGATATGTACCGACAGTAAGTTGGAGATAAAATGACAGAGCAGTAGGAGATTACAGTGATAATCACTAAAGAATGCTCCTTTCAATTCTTCCACGATCATCTGTGACAGGAAAAGCAAGTAGTGACAGTGAAAAAATAAAAATGGAACTAAGACATAAACCATGAGACAGATCTTCTCTACAATTATTGACCCAAGTTCATTTATTTTGCCAAGTTCTTACTTCCTAATTGTTTGACTTGTATGTAACTAGTGATTAAATCAAGTTGTAATATATAAATACATGTTAAAAAATGTAAGTGTCTATTAAGACCAGTTTTTTTAGCCCATCAGCATTTCTTGCATTTGTTTAAGCCAACACGCACAGGTCAGTAGCAGCACAGAACACTTACCATGGGAGCATCTTCCACAGGGCGACTCCACTGAAATGTCTGGAGCAAAACTGAAACTGAATTAGGACAAAATCACATTTTTCTCATATTTACCTATTCAGCCCATGTTTTTCCTTCTTCAGTTACTGAAAGGCAACTTTTGAAAACATCTGCTTTGGAAGCAGAGTGAGGGCCTACCTTAGATTACATATTTTTAAACTCATTAGAATTTCCTTTTTATTTCCATTAATAGCAGTAGGAAAATTAAATTAGTCTTTACAATAAAATAAATTCACTGCTACTACTATTGGAACAATAAGCATTCCAAATTAGTGCACATTACTGTAAGATACTGTATTAACCTTTTTACTCGAGTCCACTGAAAAGTAACAACATCATTAAGTGATTTCGGAGAAGATAAATGTCATCTTGTTGCTGCATCCCACTTGCTATTTCCTAATTACAGATGGGAATTTGGTATGTCACCACTGTTGACATAAATCATATGTGATAGAGGAAAGAACAAAAAAGAAATATGTTGTACAAGGTATTATTTCTAAGCAAATATTACTTCAACAGTTATTAAAATGTCTGGTCAGGGATATGGGGAAGCATGCCTTATGTTAAATGTTACCATTTAGACAGTGATAACTGTGCACATGCCTGTGTCTATCAGCACTGCTCCATATTCTGTTCCATTCACGCCTAATGTATTTGTAATGCCACTATGAAAATAAGCAATGGAGCACAGCCTGAAGAGATATTTCATTTTTTATATATATAAATTAGACCATGTAAATGGAAAAAAATTACAATGGGTAATGAATGAGATCTGTTTTTGTTTCTTCTGTTGTGAAACTGGAAGCATCCTGGAGCAATTTTTTTAATGGTCATAACTCCCACAGAGAACACAAACTTACTGCAGAATCTGCACTGCAAGCTATAGGCAATTGGCTCTCCTTGACATGGAACAGATGTGCAGCATGTTCAGTGAGGCTACAATTTCTTTAGCTTAGGATCCACTCCAGTACTTTTTCCCAATTACTGTTTCCAGTACACAAATACAGTCTACCCCCAGATGAAGGCTGCTTCATCATTCTTGTTAAGATCATCTGTCCAAAAGCATCATTTTACTCCCTGTAACATTTCTGGTGATGACTGCTACTTTGAAAAAAAAAAAAAAAAAAAAGAATTAGTGAGCAGAAAAAAGTGCACTTGCATTTTTTCCAACTCTGAGGGGAAAAACATAAGTATTCCAGTGCAGTCATGAACATCATGAAAAGGACAAACTTGAATGACTGGTAATTTTGTTTTCATTAGGTGACATCTGGTTACAATAATATTGGTAACGGAAAAGAGATGATAAAAATGATTCTAGAACCAGTTGTTTTTATATTTTATTTACAGGAGATTGGACCTAGCAACCTTTAAAGCAGTGCATTGCTGACATCTAGTGGTATTGGATATAGGCATCTAATTGAAATATGAGAGTAGCCCTTTTGATATTTATTCTTGATGATTAAGTTACTGAAAGGCTGGGATGAGGTGGCAGTTTTGAAAGGAATAATCCTTCACTGTGGGAGCCCCTTCCCTAAGAACAGAGAGGAGTATCTCAAAGGGATTCCTTATTTAACAAACCATTTCTATAATATGTCGTGGCAATTATTCATCTGCACAGTTTATTGACAGTGAAAACAATTCAAACAAGAATTCACTCTTTGCTAGCAGCACTCAGTGAGCACTGTATGAAACAAACCAAACAACAATCTATTTATATTTGAACCTCAGCAGTCTGTTATATCATTTACATATGCAGCAGCATGATTTTTGTTGAAAAAAGACCACAAACAATAAAAATAACTAACCAAGATTCTCTCTGTAGCTACCACAAGGCTTTTCAGCTATCCTCCTAAACATAAAATGATCCATTCCTGGGGTGCAGCCCCACTTTCTACACAGTATCAAATTTAGCTCCATCTTAATTGCAAAACACAAGCAAAAAAAAAACCAACAGAATCTGGAGCTTAGCAAGGATCAGCATAGCTCTAGCTTGATAAGCCTTTGATTAGGGAGGCTTACACTGAGAATGAACATAATATTAAAATATTACATGGTACAAGGGCTTTTATAATGACTTAGAAAGAAGTGCAAAGCAAGTGAGAATCAGACAACAAACCAACACAACACTGGTATTCTCCCAGATGGCTTGGGATGTACTTGAGAAGCCTACTCTGAAGGACATTGTTATGGTTAAGCATGTGTGGCACAAATGTGCCATAGCACATACTGGTTTTAACAGAATTAAAATGAGCCTGGTGATTATCTCTTCCTTTCTCCAGAGCTTGAGTGAAAAAGCTGCTCTTAGAAAAATGAAAGATCTGTTTGACAAAGCTCTCTTCCACATCCCTCTACCTGCTTACTGAATCATAAACAAGAAGTTCTTATAGTATTTATTAATCTGAGTGGAATTCAGAAGTACCAAATTTCAAGAGAGATTCATCTCCCTCCAGTAGCCTGGAGCCCAGTTCACGTGGAAACTAAACACTAAAATGCATGTAGACCTTGGCTGCTTGTATACAGCATTCTGGTCTTCTGACATCTGCCTTTCTCGGGATCTCATGGATATGCTACAGCATAAAAAGCACAATAAATTTAAAACACTCCTATGTGGTGTTTTACTGCATGGAACCACTCTGGAGAACAATTAAGCAAATATGCTGCAGAGACACTATTCTCATTTCTGCACTTTTTGGGGTAGCTCGGTACCCTTTCCTACTGAAGAATCAAACCTTCACTGGACTAGAATCTGTTTTTAAAAATACCTGTGTCTATCCCCATCAAGTGTATCACACAACACAGAATTACTCTACATAAACAGAACTGCTTCCCTGCAAGGGGTCAATACAGTCAGCAGGACGTCACCAGGACCTTAGGCATCACTATTATTACGTGGCCAACAGAGGTTTGAAAAGTATCATCAAAAAGCACAAGTAAGAACATGGAACAGATGCATTTACCTCTGGAGTTGTGCCATAAGTCATTCTGCTCTATGCAAAATGTTCAGGCTTGTTTGATAGCAGCTTGCTGATCCTGTATTTTGCAGTTACCGAACTCCAGCCTTGGCCATCTAAGATTGAAACATCTCTGCTAGTCCAAATCAGGTTTTTTTTCCCCCCACATGAAATAAGGCTTAGATTAGCACTTCTAATTTTCATAGAAAATCATTCTGAAACAGAAACATTGCAGGCTACCAAAAAGCATGCTATCACTATGACTTCTGCAGCTCACCCACACTGATAGCTCTTTCAGTTTCTAAGACTGACTGCAATCATTTTTCTGCCTCCTATGACAATGAAGAGAGAAGTCACACCCAGACTCCCTTCACTGGGATCTTTGAAACACTCTTTCTCTTCTGATAAGAGCGTGGGTTTGCTTCCACTTTGCAACTGAGTTCCCAGAAATACTTGTCAATCTGAGCTTTACCTCATACTGTAAAAAGAAACCCACGGCGCCCTGATTTACCTGCTTTAATCTGTGCTCTGTGACAGACAGCCCAGCTCAGCAGGATGTTGGTGTAAGCACCATTCCTTCTGTTCATGCAAGCCTACAACAATCATTAGAAAATCAAAGGCCCTCATTATTTTATGAAAATGATGTGATGCACATGAATTCTGTGATCCCCACGGCGTGGCCCTTGGTGTCTCTTCTATAACCCCATATCTGATGTCTTACAGGAAGCACTGCAGCAGATGCTGAGGAAAAGCTAATGAACCACCTACTGAGTCCTGACAGGTACAACAAGTTAATTCGCCCAGCTGTCAACTCATCCCAGTTGGTATCTATAGAACTGCAGGTTTCCCTGGCACAGCTCATCAGTGTGGTAAGCTCAAATTAAGCTGTTCCTTTTTAATTCATTACTATCTGCACAGCACACTAAGTAAAAGTCAGACTGTTGTTACCTGTCCCTATTATTTTATAATCTACATAATATTTAGTAGGCAGGGCCCACACATGCTATTTACTGGTTTTACTTCAGAATTCATCTACAACAGCAAGATCAGTCTATGCCTAAGCAATAAGGACAGCAGCCAGATCTTCACCCAATAAAATCCCACTCATCAAAAATCAAAATCATTCTATCATCTCGGTGCAGCTGACATAAATTACACAAGGTCAGAATCTATTCTGTACTGTGTATGTAATACTAAGCCTTCTTTTGTGTTACAAAATGCAAAATGTGGTTTACTGGCATGAAAACAAGCCAGGAAGATAGCTTAAGATCCCACAGTATATCAGCAAAGCACAGTGAAATGCTACCAAGAGAAAGACATGCTAGTTCTGTCTGGAATAGCTTAAATCAATCATTAAACATCAATCATAAACATTAAATCAATCCTCATGTAAGCAACTCCTCACCTTCAAAAAGATTGACTTCAAAGGGTCTGAAAGACATTTTTACTCCAAGTTAACATATGTTTAACAGTCCTTCCAAGGACTACTGATGCCAAGACAGGTTTAGCCATTAACAGCAGGGTGAATAAAATCTAGCACATAAGTGGGAATGATTTCATGAATTGGGGCTTTCAGCTCTGTTGCTCTTTCCCTGGGTGAAAAAGGACACAGACAGCTGGTTCTCTGCATGGGCAGGGATCAAGAATGATGCAGTTCAGTCCCTGTCTCCCTGTGCCTTCACTCTTCGGGCAGAAGGCAAAATAAATTATCTTATGGGCTCTAAGAATATCAAGCATCTTCAGCAGTGAAGCATTTTCTTTTTCTGCAGAAATCTTCCCAATTCTCTGATCTCCTATCTTGTTCATTCACTAGAACCCCAGATGCACAGATCTGCTGCAGAGAAACTTCTACCAGTTCCATGAAGCAGAGCCTGCCAGCCAAGAGCTTTCATGACAAACCTTACATAAACTTTACACAAATTACTGGGCTTCTGGTGGCCAAAGTGTGCCTTCTGTTTTGAATCAAATCCTCAGGGGAAAAAAAAAATTAAAAAAGTCAGCTTGTGGGAAGAAATTGTTCCCAAGTAGCAACATTCACACCAGTCACAGCTGTTTTTGTCAAAAGCCACTTGCAGCCATATACATGGAGAGTTACTATATATTGACAGTATACTGCTGCAATAATATTGAACAACTTTCTTCTCTGTCTTTCCCTGCAGAATGAACGAGAGCAGATCATGACTACAAATGTCTGGTTAAATCAGGTAATAAAATCCACAGAAGCATGTTCTTGCAATCCACAAACACAACTGCTTTCACTCCATCATAGTGATTGTTTTGTTTGTCTGGTCTGGATACTCCCATCACAACTGTACAATTCCTCTCTTAGGAGTGGATTGATTATCGTTTGGCTTGGAAGCCTTCTGACTACGAAGGAATAAATATGCTGAGAATACCTGCAAAACATATCTGGCTGCCAGACATTGTGCTTTACAATAAGTAAGTAAAACATCCGTAGATCATGCAGACAGCAAACAAAATCATAATCATGTATCAAGAAAAAAAGTATCAGAACCAATGAAATAGGTCTTATAAAATTCCAAAGCTAAATTTGGTAACTTATAGCTAGTATCAAGTATATCTGACTGAGGTTATTGGCCTTAAAGATTTCAGCAAAACAAAGTCTTAGAGATTCCAGCAGACCTGGGCCATGTCTGCAGCATGAGAAGGCTTACAGCTGAGACACAAGTCTTTATCAGATTAGATTATATGGTAAGCATGAACTGTAGGTACGAGCACAGCTGCACACTGATCACATTTCCAAAAAGACATTTCTATCCCATACCTTAGGCACTCAGCTACATTTTTGCCTCCTACTTCTTCTGTCCTTTCAACACAGACTCCAGGACGCAAACCTGTTACAAAGTCACAGGCACCAGAATTCCAACAGTTAACATTCATTTTCAAAACCAGATTATGTTCTATTTTCATCAAGCATTCAAAAATCAATTCAAAAATCGATTATAAGAACATATCATGAATCTGTCAACATATGACCCTGTTGCTTCACAGCACTAAGAAAAAGAAAAGCTTGGTAGTAGAAGAATCCGATACTGCTTTTCCACAAACAAATATGTGCCAATTTTTGTGTCTGTTTATTTTAAGTCTCTAGCAGATCCCTGAAGTAAATGATATCAAGTCTTTAACAAAAACAAACAACAAGCAAAAACACAGTAATTAAAATGTATAATGCAATTTCATGATACTTTGAAAACCAATGAATTCAAGAATACGTAATGGTTTACTAACATGTACAGATGGGAAACATAGGAAGTTTATATATATCTGAATTAAGTCCCTGGAATCCTACTGCTGGAGATGAGATTAGAGAAATATTTAAATACTAAAAACTACTGTGTTAGTCACAAAATAATTCAGCCAGTGGATTAGGATGTATTCTGTCTGGTCAAATCTTGTTCTGCTAAATTGTGACACTGCCCTCTGGCTTCTTTCTTCCTTATTCCCCAAATGGTAACGCTTAATGGACTGTAGGGGCAAGGAACACTTTTTGAAAGCTTCTTAAATGCACAGAAACAAGCTAAAGCCTCCCCATATCAAAACTTTTACAGCAGTACAAAAGTTCAAATTAAACCCATAGATAAAGGATCATCTCCTTCCTACAACTTCCTCCTGCAGAAGCAATGTTTCATAGGCATCAGACTCAGAGCCAAAGGCAGCCAGCAAAAGCTCACACATACTGTCAGCCCAGAAGTCTACCCACTGTGTCATATGGCTTAACTATAAATCTAACTCAGGGAGACAGAGTATGCCAGAGAGATATCATTTATTTACTAAAAACAAACAAACAACACCAAAACAAACAAACAAAAACCCACAGAATGGCAGAAAACTAAAGACTCCTAGCATTGCTGCCACTTGCTTCTGCATCTGGTTGTTCCACTGCCTACTGAGCCAGCTACAAGGGTCTCACCAGCAGCAGGAAGCCTTTGCACAGCTAAACGTAACTGATCTGGAGAGCAGCAACACAGGTGCCAAGCCTTGGATGCTTGTAGTAATTCCTTGCTTAGGAAAATCAGCCTTAGCACCAAAACAGCTCTATTTTAATGACATTGTTTTATTAACTTCTAAGAAGCAAATGTCCCACTGGAGTAATAGGGTACTAGTTAATCACAGTCAGTTGATATTCACTGGTTTATGCTTTGATTTTTCTCTTTTATTTTTTACACTCAACATGTTGTCTCTACATTATATACATTTATTTACATATTGTCTCTAGGTTATACACATTTCTTTACAACTGTATTTGTTTATCAAAAAGAGATGGGATGTATCTAGCCTAGACTCCTTTTTGCAGTCTAACAGTGCTAACCCAGTGTCAATAAAAGCAGTTGCATTTCCTCAGTTGTCAAGAAAGAATCACTGACAGCTGCTCCTCCCTGCTGTAATAATTTCCTTTGGTAGTAAGATTGGCTGAGTTTGAAAGGTGATGCATAGCACACCTGGAAGAAAGCACTGAACATGCTAAGAAACATTAGATTTCAAGAATATTTCTCAGCAACTGACCACTTTGAATTACTGCCTCGGGACACTTTGTAGGTTAAAAAACCCCATGTTGCTTGCCCAGAAATACTGGACAGGAAACCACTCTGAATGCTGACTGACAATGATTTTCTCCCTGAACTAAAAGACCCATCATAACACAGGAGACTCTCCTGGGGAAGTGCAGCATTTGGAGGAGATACAAAGCCAAGATCATTTGTGGGCATTAAGAACTCCGGGGCTTGTCTGTCCTGGTTTTGTAACACGCAAACATTAACTGGAATTATGTGATAAATTATAAACCACATAATTACATTTTCTCTGCCTGCACTCTCCCTGCATTTCCAGCTAACACTGCTCATCCCTATTTCCTTGTCTAAGTCATTTGGGAGCGTTGCTGTGTGCTCCTGGCTGTGGCTGTGTTCCTAATCAAAGGTATCTCCATTTTCATGCTGAATGATCCCATTTTTACCCAGCTTTCAAAGATGCTATAAGCCTTAATTACTTTAAGAAATATTTAAAAATACTTTGAGTTCTTTGGATAAAATGTGCACTTTTTTTTATTTAATGATCATTTTATAAAAATAGTTTACTGTAACTACTGGACAAAATATCAGTTCTCTGCCTGGGAGAAATGCATACGTTAATCTCCCTGTCAAATGATATAGCTGCCTACAATATAGAATTCAATACTGAAATCTTACTAAGCTTGAACTCTAGCAGCTGAGGCCCACAAGACAAAGAATGATGAAGTTTTTCTGTCTTGAACTTTTCCTCTTAATGTTTGCTGGTCTTCTCTCCTGTTTCTGCCCTGTTTCTTTCATTAGTGCGGATGGTACGTATGAAGTTTCACTATACACAAATGCAATTGTACAGAATAATGGAAGCATTCGCTGGTTGCCTCCAGCAATTTACAAGAGTGCCTGCAAGATTGAGGTTAAGCATTTCCCATTTGATCAACAAAACTGCACCTTAAAGTTCCGGTCTTGGACGTATGATCATACAGAAATTGATATGGTACTTAAAACTTCCATGGCAAGCATGGATGACTTTACACCAAGTGGAGAATGGGATATTGTAGCACTCCCAGGAAGAAGAACTGTAAATCCTTTGGATCCCAATTATGTTGATGTGACATATGACTTCATTATTAAAAGGAAACCTCTTTTTTATACCATCAATCTTATAATTCCCTGTGTGCTAATTACATCCTTAGCCATCCTGGTGTTCTACTTGCCTTCAGACTGCGGTGAAAAAATGACCTTATGCATATCTGTGTTGCTTGCTTTGACCGTGTTCTTACTGCTGATCTCCAAAATTGTTCCTCCAACATCTCTAGACGTGCCACTGATTGGGAAGTATCTCATGTTTACAATGGTACTGGTGACCTTCTCGATAGTTACTAGTGTCTGCGTACTCAATGTCCACCATAGATCTCCAAGTACTCACACCATGCCTCCATGGGTAAAGTTGGTTTTCCTTGAAAGACTCCCAGCCTACCTGTTCATGAAGCGACCAGAAAATAATTCTCCACGGCAAAAGCCCTGCAACTGCAAAAAGACAAGAGCAGAGAATCTTTGCATGGACCCAGCCAACTTCTACAAGAACTCTACTTACTTTGTGAACACAGCCTCTGCCAAAAAGTATGACATGAAAATCACTGATACTCTTGACAATGTCAGCAGCCATCGAGATTTTAGGTTAAGAACAGGCACAAAATTTTCTCCTGAAGTCCAAGAAGCAATTGATGGAGTCAGTTTTATAGCAGAGCACATGAAAAGTGATGACAACGACCAAAGTGTAAGTAAATCTCCAAACTTCTTCCCTTGTCCTCCTCTGTAGCATGTTTTCATGCAGGAAGGAGATTTGCAGTCTCTAGTTACCTTGAAGGTTTTGAAGATATTCTAGCTAAGGGATAAAAAAAAAAAAAAAACTTAATGAATATTAATTTGGTAAATTACTATGACCACACAAAAAGAGAACGCTGATCAGTAAGTCAGGAAGCACCCCTGAAAAAGCTGTCTTGTCACCTTCAAGTAGTGTTTGGCAGGGAAAACAGTAATGCTGACTGCCAGGTCAGACAGAACTCTATTTGAAAATATTTTTCCCCATCATATTTAGACAGACTTTAACACATCAGCTCATGTTAACCAATGTACCTGCAGCTCAACCTTTGTGAACACCTGAAGATCTCTAATTCAGCAAGATGAGCTGCTATTTAAGTTGCTCTGTTACAGCAAACACAATGGGTAGAATCAAAATTCAAATGCCAGCAGAACTGATACTTCTTCCATTTGAGTTAAATCACACTTGCTATTGGCTATGAGAAGGACAGGATTCAGGGCACCTGTAAGTAGTGCTGCTGCTGTCCTGTTCACATTCCCATACCTGAGCTACTAGCCAGCACATTACAGCTGGTGCAAACACACCACAGATAATGCTCAGAAATACTCAGATGGTTCAGTTTTGTGTAGATCACAGTTAAGGAAAATTGCCAAGCATCCCCTCTTCATCCTGCTCAGTCCCAGATCCCAGTAGGACTGTAAGTTCTTCATTCCTGCCAAGCAGACTAAATGAAACCTGGCTTCTGATACTGCAGAAGTCCCTTGAGGAACATGCTGCTGAGTAGTTCATGTTTTCTATTAACTGAAATTACTGTCAATATAAATAAAGATCAGATGCTAACATTCAACACGACCTACACGCATTGAAACTGACTGAAAAGAAGCACACTTCACAAAGCAGGCAAAAAGTTTTCCAATAGCTCAGCAATCCTTGCAAGAATATGTTGCATTTTAAAAGATCTAATTGAGACTAGGAGCAACTTTCAAGGGTATTTCATACATTAAAAATGAATAGGATGCTTTTCACACAGGGTCCTCTGGTACCACATATTACTGTTTTATGGATTCGTAACCTTAATTTCTGCTACCTTCCTTCATGATCACGGTCTGATAACTGTTAGTGTGCATTTACTACAGCCTCATTTCAGAAGTGCAAAATTTCCATTAGCAGCAGTGGGAATTAGAATTGTGTGCTGAAGGAAAAATTTGTCATGTTCTAATTGAAGAGACAAGACAAATGACAAGCATGCTGAAGTCACTGAGGTGACAATGTCCCACGTTTAACGAGAATCAATGACAGAGGAAAAATAATCATTCTTGAGATGCAAACAAAGATTGATATATTCATCCTTTGCAATGAAAGCCAGGAAGTCACTTCAGTTTGAAGATAGAATCCAAGACTAGCCTTATTTTGTCTGTTTCACACACAACACATGTAAGGCCGAGGGGATTTTAAAAAAGCAACAGTATTAATATTCATTAAATCCCTTCATTAAGAAGACTGCTGGTAAGAAAAGTCAGAGGCTAACCTTGTTTAGCAGCAATAATTACTCTCTCTCTTTGTCCAAAGAGATTAATAGCAGCTGCAAATTAAAATTAATGAAAAAAAAATCCTTAATTGGATTACACCGTAGGTCCTTCCGGAACACCAGGCAGCCATGCCCTGTACCTCACACATCAAAGACAGCTAAGAAATATTTACAGTATTTTTCTCCACTGCTGGGAATGATAGCAGGAGAAAAAATCCTTCTGGACCTTGAGGTTTATTTCCTTTTATTTTCATAAACAAAGACTGCATCAGCAAGAGGAAGAGCAAAATAACATGACAAATTGCTAATATCTTTAACTGGCTTTTTTTTTCCAGGTCATTGAAGACTGGAAGTATGTTGCCATGGTAGTGGACAGGCTGTTTCTCTGGATATTTGTCCTTGTTTGTGTTCTGGGGACTGTTGGATTATTTCTGCAGCCACTCTTTCAAAACCACATTGCTGCCACGAACCCTTAGCTCTTATCTAAAATTGTCAATGCCTACACAGATGCTGGGTCTCATCCTGCTCTCAGTTTCCCTCTGCTAAATCCAGAGAGATGTCAGACGAGTTGCTCTCCCATCGGATGTACGGTAGGGATGTGGAAAGCAGCAACATTATTTTGATAGGAAAAAATATATTTAAAAAAAAAAGCATTTTTCCCAATGAGTTCAGTACTTCTGGTGATCTCATGGCTCTTTTTTCAACTCTCTGAAGCCTGAATATTAGAGAAAGACATTTCCTGTATAATGTGCCAGCTTGGCTCACAAGGATTGTTTATTAAAAGGGTATTTTATATACATTGCCTCAGGAAAGCCATTTTCTTTCCTTAGAATACTGCAGTTTCCATACTACAAAGGAGGCATTTATTTCCTCAAATGCATCAAAATGATTTGTGTCTGATTTATACAGAGCGTGGCAGGTGGAATCATTGTTTAACTGTGTTGACTGTGATATTTAAGACTGAACTGAGAAACAGAGCCATACTCCTGGTTTCTCATTGTGCTGTCCCTGCTAGTAGGTTAATCAACAAAGGCCAAATTAATATGTAATATTAACATTTATATGCTCTGTTCAGTGACAAAATGTAAATAAAATGCAAAAATTCTCCCTTATATATAGTCCTGAAACATTCCTACAATTTTTAACAGCTCATATAAGTGGCATTCACATACACCTTCATGAATCTAAGGCTAAAAGTAGAAGAAAGCATCCTGGGAACAAACCAGCTGTGAAAAGTGGCTAAGACACCTGAGAACAAACCTGCATGTTTTGCTGAGGAGATGTTAAAGCAGGTTTAAATACCATCCTAAACAATCATATAAGTGCTATAAAAGTACATAACACAGGTAGTGTCTTGGCAAAGGATGGATGAGGGCCTGAGCATCCCACCAAACACGGTTTCAGCCAACCTCTTAACCTCCACAAAGAGAAGTGCAGTCCTGATATTCTTCAAGCTAAACCAACCTCAGCTTCTCCTAGAGGTGTTATCAGGACACATACCAATGTTACAAGCACTGACAGGTACAAATGACTGGTGAACAAATTTAAAATTCACTACTTGAGCAGGGGATCTGGCTTACCTGTCCTGGGAGAGGATTAGCAGACACTTAAAGCTGTCTTCTTCAGCAGGCTCTGGCCTGATTTGCTTTCATTAGAACTTTAGTTTAGTTCACCTTAGTGATGTCCCTATCTAGATCACTGCTACAGATAATAACACAGATATACATGTGCCACAGAAACCTTCCCAATCGTTCACAGAAATTCCAAGACCTTTGCTGACCCACGTGTTCTCTCCCCACCTCCCCCTAGGGGTGGCAATGCTTCTGTCCTCTCCCAGACATTAACTGCTCTGGACATACCCCATGGGGCCTGGATGAAGGTGGAGTTCAAAAGGGGTTAAATCTGCTTCTCTCGCCTCAAATATCTAATCTTAAACCTAAATAGCACAGCTGTTTTACTGCAGCAACAGAAACAGTGGCTGTGAGATGAGAGACAACCCAAGGGAACGGAGGAGCACTTTGTCCATCCCAGGAGACTCCTCTGTGTTAGGTTATCTGCCAGCAGCTGCCATGGCATAGAATATCATAAGCACATGTGCACACAATGCCCCAGCTGCTAGGTAGTTCTTTCTGCTTACAGAGAAGCCAGAGGGAAGCCAGAGCAGCTGCCGGTGCTGCGCAGACAGTGTAAAGGTGGAGCTTCTTTAAATCCCACAACAACCCTCCACATCCAACAAGGATGTGGAGCTCTTGGAGCGGGTCCAGAGGAGGGCCTCTAAAATGATCAGAGGGCTGGAGCTGGAGCTCCTATGAGGAAAGGTTGAGGGAACTGGGCTTGTTTAGCTTGGAGAAGACAAGGCTCCAGGGAGCCTTCCAGTACTTGAAGGGAGCATATAAACAGGAGGGGTAACGGCTGTTTATGAGAGTGGATAGTGATAGGACAAGGGGGTATGGTCTTAAATTGAGACACGGGAGGTTTAGGTTGGATATTAGGAGGAATTTTTTCACACAGAGGGTGGTGAGGCACTGGAACAGGTTGCCCAAGGAGGCTGTGGATGCCCCTTCCCTGCAGGCATTCAAGGCCAGGCTGGATGTGGCTCTGGGCAGCCTGGTCTGCTGGTTGGCAACCTTGCACATAGCAGGGGGTTGGACCTAGATGACTTGTGATCTTTTTCAACCCAGGCCATTCCATGATTCCATGAACCTTGAACAGCAAATCTGAGCAAGGCAGCACAGACCTCAGTGCAGACTTCAGTGCTGTCAGAAACCACTGCACATTCTCAAGGGGAGAGGGGCATCCAGAGACACAGTGAGTCAGCCTCAAACCCTGCAGTCCACCCTGCAAACTGCTGCTGGACCTGCCTGAAGCACAGACCCTTTTCTGTGCTCCTCTCCCCACAGCAGCACTTCTGTCTCTGTTGCACCCTCAGCCATCAGTCTCCTACCAATCATTACCCCTCTCCCCAGTCCCATCTTCTCCACTTCTCCATTTGATGCTGCCTGAATGGAATTGAACCAAGGCCCCAGAACTTCTCCCTCACAGTCAGTCTTACTCTTCACAAGCAGCCACAGCTGACAACATTTGGCTCCATAACTGCTCCTTCAGACAAATCTCTTGCAAAGACAAAAGTTTCAGAAATGATTTGCATCTCAGCAGGCAGCCACCACAGAGCTCAAGGAAATGGAGGCCTCTGACCTGACAAACACAGAAAGGGCTCTCAAGAGGCACACTCCTACCCCCAGGAGCATCCCTTAGGAGCTAGGGCTCCTCATTCAGGATATGGTGAGCTCTGGTGCTTTCCATATATTAGAGCCACCTGACACCTTTTTAATCATGAGTAAGGCAATAAACTTTTCCCTAGTTGTGCTTTGGAAAAATGATTGTATTTTTGTAAATTTTTCAGAAGTAGTTTGATCCACAGCAAACTTTAGAATGGAAAATGTCACCCAAGTTGTAAAAGTTTTGAAGAACTTTATCTTCATAAAATTGCAGTTTGGAACTCAGAAATGCCAAATTTGCCTCTCAGCAGCTCCACCTATGTAAAAATAAAGTCATCCCAGCTTAACTTGTCAGACACTCACAGGGTTTTCCATTTTGTTTTCTTGACAAAATTTCAAAAATAGAAATTTTCTGGAGAAACGGAAGCACTAAAAATGTCAGACTACAAACCAATACAAATATAAGGTTTGAGTTCGTCAAACAAATCAAGGTTTTTACAGCAATGTTTTCCATTAAAAAAAAAACATGGTCATTTCACTAAACTCTTTCGGTGAAAGCACACAACCAACCTTTGCCTCCCTTCTAGTGAGGAAAAGGCTCTGGTGACACTATCTCCATTCCCTACCATTACAAAAGCCTTGAGTACAACATCCTGAATGCCCTCGGAATGTGCAGCACTGTCAGCACCACCACATGTGTGCCATTTGCCTCAAGGTGAGTGTATCTGAGATTGTCTCTGCACTCTCACAGCGAAAGCAAATGAAGACCATCACGGACAGCTTTTAATTGCAGAAGCACCAATACTGCAGAATAGAATAGGAGAATAATCTTTTCCTCATCACATGAGTTGGTCATGATTTGATCTTAACAAATCTTAACAGAGAAACACACGGAGTAGGGGCATGACATGACACGTGGTTTTTAAAAAGCACTGGCAATGCAGTTTGCTGTTGCAGATATTCTTAGGTGGATGAAGTTTCCCTTGCCTGTAAGAATCCTTCTTCTATGTAGTTCTGCAATGCAGTCATGGTGACGTGTTCTTATCATATCACTCTCCCCAGACATAGAAAATAATCCTGCTACAAACCTGAGCTGATTTCACGAGGAGCTCCATCATATGATGTTAGCGACAAAATATCTGTGCATTCAAACACAGCTGGACATTTCAGCAATTTGGCAAATAAACAAAATACCTGTATTTCTGGATACAATGGCTCTTCACTGCCTCTAGAGATCAGCCATTTCTAAACTCTTCTGGTTTAGACACTGAATTTTTGGGAACATAGGCTGTGATCTGGCCTTTGATGCTTTAGCTCATTTCTAGCTGGAACTAAAAAGAAATGAACAAAAATCCCAGTTATAATGTTGCTCATTCATGGAGAGCATGAAGGTAAAATGAGGAGGAAGGACAAGGAAACATATCCATAAAGGGTTAAGCTACAAGACCAAGTGCCTGTGTTCTCTTGAAAAAAAAAAAAAAAAAGAAATAAAATCAAATGGACAGTAAAGCCTATTTCCTCAAAGCTAATAGAATTACAGAAATTATCCTAAGAGCATGTGTCTGGGGACGCAGTGAATGATGCTCTGAGAGATAGAGCAAACAGGATAAACAAGCTCTGTGCCAACAGCAGCTGAATCCAGTCTGATGCTCATTCTCCCGGCGCTACCTAACACAGCACCAAAGAGGGTTGTCATTTATTCTTCCCTAGCAGCAGGGAGAGAAGCACCTGGTGGACACAGTCCCATGTGCCACACAGCTTCCCTCTCACCACTACCCAAAAGAAGGGTGCAGTCCCACTGTGCTCTCTCCCCTCCTCCTCCCTCCACACCAGCTGCTGCTGGATGTGTGCAGCAGAGCCCTGCGCCACCTGGCTGTTCCAGGGGAGGCAAAAAGCAATACACAATTTAACACAGAAGCTGATGGGCACCTGGGGAATGAGCCACACTGCAAACCTCAATTTTGACTGAAAGGGAGACAAATCAAATGCTGGGGCTCTGAAAGGTTGATAGAGGATGACCCTTACCCAAAGAGCTTTGGTTGTTTTTTTGTTGTTTTGTTTGGGGGAATCTTTTCTTTTTTAACTTCAGAGTTATGAGAGTTTCAGATTATTTTATGAGAGTAAGAAAAGATTAAAACCATTATTTCTGCAGTGAGAACCTACAAGTCTTAAGAAGCTCTACAAGGACAATGCACAGAGAGTAACCTTCACCAGAACTCCAAATAGAATGTCCCATTGTCTCTCATCTTCTTTCCCCCAAAGGGTTCGACAACAGATACTTTTGGGATCAGGCTGGGATCCTACACCATTCCTAAATTCCACCTTCCCAACTCACGAAAAAAAAGAACTGTCCAAAGACAGTTACTTTGAAACACTTTGCCCATGCTAGGCCTCCAGCTCCAACCTCTGCTCTTATTGATCCCATCACTCTGCACTTAGATCCTGGCAAGTTATGTATGTCAAACTGAATCACAGAATCATAGAATGGCCTGGGTTGAAAAGGAGCACAATGTTCATCTAGTTCCAACCCCCTGCTATGCGCAGGGTCGCCAACCAGCAGCCCAGGCTGCCCAGAGCCACATCCAGCCTGGCCTTGAATGCCTCCAGGGATGGGGCATCCACAGCCTCCTTGGGCAACCCGTTCCAGTGCCTCACCACCCTCTGTGTGAAAAACTTCTTCCTAATATCTAACCTAAACATCCCCTGTCTCAGTTTAAAACCATTCCCGCCTTGTCCTGTCGCTATCCACTCTCGTAAACAGCCATTCCCCCTCCTGTTTATATGCTCCCTTCAAGTACTGGAAGGCCACAATGAGGTCTCCCTGGAGCCTTGTCTTCTCCAAGCTAAACAAGCCCAGTTCCCTCAACCTTTCTTCACAGCAGAGGTGCTCCAGGCTGAATTACTTCTTGGAACAGCACCATCCTTTTCTCACAGTGAAGAAGCAGGCTACAGTCAGGCACCTACCACTTGTGTTTGCATGGATGAGATGCAGCCAAGAAAAAACTTTCAATGTTCACAGCATAATTGGAAATTTGCATCTCACGATCTCAGTTCACTGCTAAATCAAGCATCCCTAATACCAATATTCATTTTGGCACAATTCAATTATAAGATTTTTAATAACTAGACTTCTCCTAGTAACTTGGCACGAGCTTCTTACAAAGAAGGATTTTGTACAGCAGCTGATTGAAAAAATCTTCAGCACTGTCAAGTTACCATGTTCACCTACATACCGTTTCACAGACTTTTACCCACGCTGGGACGCTGCTCACTGTCCACAGTATTTATCTGCAATTCATTCTGTTTTCCCTGCTCTGGCAGCCTGGGAAGCAGGGTCGGGGGCAGCCCAGCCCAGCTGACAGGAGCGCACTGCGCAGCGCCGTGCCGGGTGCTGCTGCTCACAGGCATTGCACGCATCACAGGAGCGGAGCTGCCTGCGCTGGCTGTGCTCAGACAATCCTAGCAGCTCAGCGCATCTCTAGCAGCCTCTGTCACCAGGCTGTCATTCGTAACACCATGCAGAGCATACACACCCTCCTCTTAACTGCTGCTGTTTGCATCCTCTTTCAAGGTGAGTGATCCTTCATTTGTTTATCTGTTGTTGGTAGAGGAGGAACTGAGCAGGTGAGCAGGAGATGGCTCGGGTGCCAATTTATTTTAAGAAGTGTGGAAGCTTATGCCAAACTAAGGGATGAAACGTGCAGAATCCTACCACAGTTTGTTACATTGTTCGGCTTTTTTGTCTTGTCTTGCTTCTAACTCTTCCTTGTGAGGTAATTAAGTCATCTGGATTCAATATGCCAAACGAGACACAAAGCCATATTAATGTTGAGAAGAGAAAGCACCTTACATGTAAAGGCTTGGTTTTATGTATTGTGGAGCAATTAAGGATTAGAAGAGAGACAATATTAAAAAGTTTTAAATGCGTGCTGTGAACAGTGCCTTACCTCTGCAAATAAAGCAGCAAAACGTTTAAATTTAAAAAAAAAAAAAAAACAAAACATTAATACGTTTATTCTGGAGACAAAGCGGGCAACAGATTTAATCCAACTGCTGCAGGCATATTAAAAGGCTGGCAGTTTGGGACTGGCCATCATAAAGAGTCGCTATAACTTAGCTTAAACAAGACTTATCTAAGAGATTGAGTATGAATTCCAGGAAGCCTTGATTTGGGAGATGAAATACAAATAAATAAAAAAACAAAACAACACACCCAACAGGGCAATGCTAGCAGTTCAGAAGTATCAAAGAAATATGCTCATTTTTCAATGAGCAACTCTGCTTGAGTGATTTCGCTAATCTGAGAAATGAAATCACCTTCCAGGTGTGATCTGAACACAGCTACATGAGGGGAACTTCCTTGTCTCAGGGAGATAAGAGCTCTTACAAAGACCAGAAAGTAACACCTGCTGTTAAACACCTCAGCTCCATCACCTGCAGATACCTCTGCTTCATTCACGAAAGATACTAGCCAGGAGGGTGAAAAAAAATCATAAACGTCCTTGCAAATATCTGTTGATTGATGGTCCAAAGGGGCTGCAGGGTTCATTCAGCAGCTGTTAGCTCTGTGCCTTCGACAAGTTTGTTGTAACACCCAGACAGAAGCACAAATCAGGTCCTTCAGTTTGGAAGCACTGGGAGACCTTAAGGAAGAGCCTCCTAAAAGCAAAGCGGTGCTCAGAGCAAAGGGCTGCCGGACAGCTTAGCACACAGCTCAGCACACAGCTGTCCCACAGCAGCAGGCTGCCGCACACGAGCGCGGCTCGGGGTATCGCAGCGCTGATACACCAGAGCCCCGCGCCTCGCCCCGCAGGCTGCGGCGGCTCCGAGCCCGAGCACCGGCTGTACGCGGCTCTCTTCAAGAACTACAACCAGTTCGTCCGCCCGGTAAAGAACATCTCGGACCCCGTCATCATCCAGTTCGAGGTGTCCATGTCCCAGCTGGTCAAAGTGGTGAGTATCCGACCCCGCCTGGCGCCCGCGGGAGGGCCGGCCCCGCGCCCGACACGCCTTTGTTTTACAGGACGAAGTCAACCAGATCATGGAGACCAACCTGTGGCTGAAGCACGTGAGTAGCGCTCCCCGAACCCGGCGGGACGAGCCCGGGATGAGGCGGCCGCCCGGCGGGGCGTCGCGGGGTTCACACGCGGAGCCTCCGCGCGGTTCCCCTCAGCGCCGCTTTCCCGCCCGCAGCGCTTCGCTGCCCGGCGCTCTGCTGCCCCCCAGCGGCGCTCGGTAGCAGCACCTCAGCACGCGGCGCGCTCCTTCCCGCCACGGGCTCTGTGAGAGCCCCGCTAGGGCGAGCGCGCCTCAACCGACAACCGCCACCAGTCCCTCACACCAGCACAGCGTTTAAATACGTCGAGGTGCAGCTGTTAAACTGAGGGCGAACAGCTGCAGCAGTAACCCTCCTACGCTCAGTGTAGTCCCTGAGAGCCACGTTTTGCCCTAGGCTGTTGTCACGGCGGCACGGGGCTCTCGGGTCACACAGCCGCTCCCACAGCGAGCACAACAATGCTGCCTGCTCTTAAAAGGAACTTCATAGGTTACAAAGGCAATTACTTACTGTGCTGGTCAGCATAACCAACTTAATAGGCAGCTTCATCTTAATCATCGATTTGGCTGAGCTGGGTTTTAATGAGCACTAATGAACAGTTGCTTGACTGAATAACGCCACATGGGTCTGTCCTTCAGTGCTTTCACACAGCGACAGAGCCACCTATCAATCCATTTCCACTGTTTAACAGTGCTTTTTGAGACCTAAGTTATTACTCCCGTCCTACACTCCCTTTTTCACCTTGTTTCATCCACTGGTACAGGGACTGAGTCACCTCTAGACCCACACAAACGCCTGACACGGATGTGTGATTAAGAAACAGCTGATCTTGGTGGTATCCAAAATAAAACAACCCTAAAAGCCATCCCACAGCACTTGTTTTGACTCTAGTCCACAGGATTTTGATTTCTTTGCAAAATTAATGCATTGACTCATTTCTTCCGTAATTAGATCTGGAATGATTACAAGCTTCGGTGGAATCCAGTGGATTATGGAGGTGCTGAATTCATCCGAGTGCCCTCTGGCCAGATCTGGAAGCCAGATATCGTATTATATAACAAGTAAGACTCCCACATACCTGTTTTCTTAATTCAGTCATAACAGTTCTAAATTCAAAGAAAGAAGATCTATGTGAGATGGAAGCAAGAATTCTTTGCTGTGGTGGTGGTGAGGTGCTGGAGGAGGTTTCCCAGAGAGAGTGTGTGTGCCCCATCCTTGGAAGTGCTCCAGGCCAGGCTGAACGGGGCTGTGAGCAACCTGACCCAGTGAAAGCTATCTGAGCCCCACGGCAAGGGCTTGGAACTAGATCATAGAATCATAGAATCATGGAATCACAAGGTTGGAAACGACCTATAAGATCATCTAGTCCAAACGTCTTCACACATGGTCTTTAAGATGGTCTTTAAGGTCCATTCCAACCCAAACCATTCTGTGATTCTACAGGAGGAACTGCTGCTGATTTTTTAAAAACTAATAAATACCAACAAATTCAGTGAACTGGCTGAAAAAGCCTACTTTGCAATGTCCCATCTCTCTGCTACTTACATGCCATCTACATCAGCATCACTGGCCGCGAGCCAGGTCCTAACCTGAAGGTGCAAGCACTGGGGGTGGGCAGGCCAAAGCAAGGTTTACTTTTTCCCTTCACAAGACCCCAGCTTTACTACTGTTTTTAACACTTCTGATAAGGGAAATGACAATAAGTTCCCTTGGACTGCACTTTTCTTGTCTGAGTCAGACTGAAACACACAAACAAGCTAGTTCTTTCTATCCGCTAAACTCATAATTTGACACCTTCCCTATAGCACCTAAAAGTAACAGCTAAAACCATAACCAGGTGTCAAATTATGAAGAGCAAAACCATAATTAAATGGATCCCTCTGCTCTCAGTTTGATGTGTTTAACTACATAGATCCAAAGCCTAAGTCTGTGGAAGAGCAGTGACACTGGTACTTCTCTAAATGCAGCCATAAAAATGAAAATTACATTTATAAACAAATGTAATTATCACATGGATCTTATTATGATCGATGGGACCAGGAGAGCAATACAAAACTTTATGAAAACCTCACTGAATACACAATTCAGGCAAAGATGCACCCCAACACTACTTACTGCCTTCATGGTCCGCAGAAGAGGTGGAGATATCAGTACTGCAGATATCCCTTGATATTGGCCCCATGGGTTCTAACTTTTGCTGTTTTGTATATTGGCTGCACTATCTTATTACTGTAAAAGAGAATTTTTTTTTTTTTTTTTCAAATTCTCCAAGTCATCAAAATTTATGAAGCTGTTTATTTGAACTGTGATAATTTATGACAACCACTGACAGTCCTGCATGCTGACATGGAGCTGAATTGCATATGTAATTGCTGGCTTCCACAAATGAAATGACAACCTAAAACTACCTGCATCAGTTGCATCCTGATGTTATTTTCATTTGCTTTGCAGTGCAGTTGGGGATTTCCAGGTTGATGACAAGACAAAGGCTCTACTGAAGTACACGGGTGATGTGACCTGGATACCCCCAGCTATATTTAAAAGCTCATGTAAAATAGATGTAACCTACTTCCCATTTGACTATCAGAACTGCACCATGAAGTTTGGTTCCTGGTCTTATGATAAAGCCAAAATTGACTTGGTTTTAATCGGCTCTACGATGAACCTGAAAGATTACTGGGAGAGTGGAGAATGGGCCATTATTAAAGCTCCTGGGTATAAACATGACATTAAATATAACTGCTGTGAAGAGATCTATACAGACATCACATACTCTCTTTACATTAGACGCTTACCTTTATTTTACACTATCAACATGATTATTCCATGTCTGCTGATTTCTTTTCTGACTGTATTAGTTTTCTATTTGCCCTCAGACTGTGGTGAAAAGGTGACACTCTGTATATCAGTCCTTCTGTCTTTAACGGTGTTTCTTCTTGTTATCACTGAAACCATACCTTCTACTTCCCTGGTGATCCCTCTTATTGGGGAATACCTCCTTTTCACTATGATATTTGTAACTCTGTCTATTGTCATTACGGTATTCGTTCTAAACGTGCACTACAGAACACCCAAGACACACACCATGCCTGTGTGGGTGAGAACTATCTTCTTGAACTTACTTCCCAGGATCATGTTTATGACAAGGCCGACGAGCGATGAAGAGAATAATCAGAAACCAAAGCCATTTTACACTTCTGAGTTTTCAAACTTAAATTGCTTCAACAGCTCTGAAATCAAATGCTGCAAAGATGGCTTTGTATGTCAAGACGTGACATGCAGCTGTTGCCAGTATCAACGAATGAAGTTTTCCGATTTCAGTGGCAATCTCACAAGAAGTTCCAGCTCTGAATCTGTAGATCCTCTGTTTTCATTTTCAGTTCTGTCACCAGAAATGAGAGATGCTATTGAAAGTGTTAAATACATTGCAGAAAATATGAAAATGCAGAATGAAGCAAAAGAGGTAAGAATATATTTTACTATTACTCAAACTGCATTTATGATCAATTTGCTTTGAAGAAAAAACAAACAAACAACACAGACCACTGTTTGGTATAAGTAAATTACATAAGCTGTATTACAAACACATGCAGCTTTGAATGTAGATAATTTTGGAGAGCAGCTCCCCTTGCACAACGTTCTCTTTATTGACAACACATCTTGCATGAGAACGTAATAAAATTTCAGCATTGCCTACAAAATGTATACCAAACGTAAAGGTAACTGTGTACCAATTCATCAGCAACATACTGTTTAAAGACCAGTAGTGTATTTCAGTAAGCTTTTTTGGCTAGTCTTGATCACTTAAGGACATAAAGCTTTTTACTTTCAGTGTTGGCATACAGAAGTAGTATCCCAAAAAGTTTGATGAATTGGTGAACAACTTTTTGTATCTGAAGCAGCTTTTGGTTTAGCACAAATAGCATATTCAAATAAAGCTGCTTCAAGACGATTTCATCAATGAAAACATAGGAAAGCTGAAAAAAATTCTTTGCACACGATGTGAAATATTCCTAATTGCTAATGCTAATTATTAATTTAATAAACATGCCAACTTAATATTTTATTTATTTTTCAGATTCAGGATGACTGGAAATATGTTGCCATGGTAATTGATCGTATTTTTCTATGGGTTTTCATCCTGGTATGCATTCTGGGAACAGCAGGATTATTTTTACAACCTTTGATGACTGGAGATGACGCGTAAAACCTTAAAACATCACGCTGTGAAATCAGATAGGACTTGTGCCAACCAAACTCTGCACTCTTTACCCCAGCACCTGATAGCTCTTCTGTGTTTCAGTAGTAGAATAAGGATCTCTCTTGGCTTCAACTTTGCTTGACATAGAAGGCTTTATTAAAAAATGTGATAACATGAAAAAAGAAATGTTTAAAACTTTCTCTCCAAGTATTATGTGCTGTGCTTGCCAGTTCCTTTTCACAATAGCTGAAAAAGATGTGGGTTGTATGTTAAACTTCACAGAAACTCTTTAAGAAGCTGCTGATAAACTGAAAGTTATACAGATGTTCAGAGAATCAAGACAAGTTGAGTACTTCAGGCTACCAGAGTTGAATGGAAGATAGTTAACACCAGACATGATAGGACCTTTGGAAATAAGTTCATATTAATTTAATGTATGCCTTGATAAGGACAAAATGGGAAGCATACATACCAAACGCTACAGAACACTGCCACCCAGTGTATAAATCCATTCAAACTGTGGGAAGAAAGGTCCGTGGGCAGGTTTGTTAGGAAAGGAATAATAGATGAGTAATAGGTGATGGTTTTATACAAGGGAAGGCAAGTAGATACAAAATACTTCCGTAAAGTATGCTAAAATTATGTCTTAGGTATATGTCTTCTTTTTCTAAACCAATAACTGAAAATGATTTGAGAGCTTGGATAAACAATACAACAAAAATACTGTAATGAGATGTTTTGTAAAGATATAAACTGTTCTCTCTGTACCAAACTGGAAACTTTTTAGAAACAGTGGTATCAAATGAGGAAACATTCGTGAAAATAAAGAGAATCAAGCTGTTGAAAATTGTGATTTTCTTTCATTTATTTTGACCAAGAGACAAAAGCTATATTAGTTACATCTCAACACATTCAGAAAGAAGTAAAGGCCCATGCTTCTGAGTCTATTAAAAATAATTTCATTTCACACACACCTGAGGATGAGCTGAAAACCCCAATGATTCCAGCATATCTTTTTCATCCACAGATATCGTGATCAGATTATAGAAATGACTGAAAGAACTTCATGCATTTGCAAAAACTGTTAGTTACTAGCATAAAGGCTGGAACTCCATTGGCCACGCTGCCAATTACCCCATGATATAATTAAGAGTCTTCAGACATTACTGAACAAGGTACAGGAGGGGAGCTAAAAAGATACATGGCTAATATCCTTGCTTTGTTTTCTTTTCTGATAAGGGTAAACTGTAGTAAGTAATTTAAAGCTAAGGAGGACTATAAAAAGAAACTTTGCATTTGGAACAGAAATAAGATGTCCAAAGCACTTCTGTAGTTTTCAAACATAGTTTCTGATGCATTAATATTAGTAATACTGAGAAAGTTATAAAACTAATGGATTAAATCAGATTGCAAATTCACTTTTAAAATAAGTTATGATGGGAATGCAGAAAATACTGATATCTAACGCCAGATGGAATTGTGTAACTGAAGAGGAAGAGTCATTTCTTTTTCAACCAGAATTATTTATAACTTGGTAAAAAATAATAGCATGTTTTTACAGATTAGTTGGCATCATTTCCCTGTGCAGGGGACTTCAAAAGCTGTACGTTAGCCCTGCAGGATACAGCTCTGTTATGAAGGAACAAAGAAACTGACAAAACCTAAAGTGTAGGAAAAACATTCTCTTCTAGAGTCTCTGCCAGAAATAAAACTTTTAAGAATAGCAGCACTGGAATCAATTTAAAAAATTAACATCCATTATTTAATTAATATAGTTTAGAGATAGAATAAATAATTTTATAATTATTATTAATTTTAAATATACATATATGAGATATAGCTGACAAAGAGATGTCAATACTCACGTACCCTGTAAGCATTTTAAGGCTCAATATATCACAAGGTCACATTAGTATGGTATAATTAACAAGATTTTAAGTTTAGCAGCAAATTCCACTGACAATTTATAAAGGCTTAACTCAGTCAGAATGCTCTGTTTATTGGTCTGCTGAAAAGGAAGTTCAATTGATGTTTTTATTATAATTTTTAATTTACTATGTAGATACAAGTTCTCATTCACATAATAAGTTGAAATACAACTCTATTGTGCAAGCACCTGCAAAAATTTAATAATAAATATAACATTTTCCATAGTAACTTAATAATGGGGCTACAGTGATCTTCATTAAAAAAATCTCAATCCTTCTCAGTAGGTGTCAGTATATACTGCTTCTAACATACACATGCAAATATTTGCAAAGGTCTTTGACTTTGACCTGATGTACAAGTATCTTAGTAGACTGGCACTAAGCAAATTGATTTCTGTGAGTCCTACGTCATGCTTTAACATCATAATTTTTAGGTTTAGGATTTTTTTTTTTTCCTATCAGAAACATGCCTACAAAGAACATGCATGGAAATTTAACACTCCAAAAACTTTTTAGAATGATGTTAGCAGGAGACAGATCCAAAAATATCTTATGTATTTGTACTGCCTATATGCACAGGTACTATTATACTTGCCCATTTATGAATAACAGGAATAAATAACACAAGTGATCCAATTATTGAAACCAGAAGAAAGGCCCATAAGAACATTCGATCAAGCACCTGAGCAATAAATTTCCAGTCTTCAACAACCTAAAAAACAAAGAACATAAGAGCTGTCCAGTATGCGCAAGAGCGGGTGAAAATACAGCATCAGACTCCGTAATAATCAATCACTTCACATTTTTCTCCCCCTCCTAGTCAGATCAATTTGATAACCCCCTCCTTTTTAATATATACATGTATTAATAAATCACACTGTGACCCACAGCAGGAAAACACTTCTCTCTACGTAGACCAGTAATATATGCAGCTCAAATGCTAAATTTTAGTGGAGCAGTTGACCCTGATGAGCATTGAACATCTTCAGTTATACAGAGAGAAAATCAGTATGCAATTTAATAACATGCTGGAGGATTTAGGATTCATGCCACAGCCTCACCATAGAGTAGGACTCCCAGGCAGAAGCTAGAGTTGCAAACAATTAACAGCCGACAGCAGCTCTAGCATTACACACAACATCTGACAACTGTGCAGTTACTGGTGCATGGAATTACACTCCAGGTAGAACACTCACAGTGCTTTCAAGACTGTTTCCCTTTTTGATAGGATTATTTATAACTACACACAGTTCTGCAAGTACAGCTGATATAATCGTGCAAGCAAATTAAATCTGCCAAAAAAGCAACTTTCATTTCAATTGGAGCTATCCGCATTTCCCAGGCCTACTGCATCCTGCAAGGCAAGGCTACAACACCAGCTGTGTAAACTTTACTTTCAACAACCAGGGCTAAAATCTTTCTGCAATCAAAGCCTGCATTCCCCAAAGGCCAAATAACAAAATGTAAGTGAACCCCCAGTCAGCTGTATGTTCAGTTCTGATGTTTAGAGTTGCAGCAACCAAAAAACAAAATACCTATCAACTTTCTTGCCACAAACAATTGAATAAAGTAATTTAATAAAGAGAATCAACTCACAATTTACTCAAAACTATACATTTAAGCAAACTATTCTATTTGTGCTGTATATATGTGGACATACTCTGCACTGTATATACAAGAATCCTATTTTGACAGTACAGTAGGTGTTCAAATCCAGACTGGATCCCTTGTGATAATATCAGGGTACAGTCCCAAGAAGCTGCATTAGAAGAATTAATTTGCTCCAAGGCTAACATAAGAGTACATACCTCTCAGCAACTGTCTACAAGAGGTGCTAGCTTAAAGCAAGGAAGGAAAACTAATTTGTAATGATCTTACCTGCATAGCATAAACACCCACACTGAAGATAGCTCAGTGTGCAAATGCACAGGCTGAAAAATCCTTTAAATTATATCAAAAGGGAAATGATAATAGGGCTAGAGGAGATCACTCAGCAGGTCATCCAGTCAATGTCTGATCTCAGCACAAAATGACTGATCCATGGTGACAACCTGTATTTAAACTAATATAAATTACGGAATTTAAAATTGTCTATATTTGGAAATGAAAGGTGCAAGAAAAGGGCTTAGCAGGAATTATTCTGGAATTGTAAATCAAATGTATTTTTCATGTAGCCTGCAGATACTACACTAAAATGAAAAATACCTACTTCTTTCATTATGAAAACAACATGCAGCAGCACTGCAGGTAGCAGTTACTGGACATGCTCTTGTAACAGCCATGTGTCTCTGAAAATATTTGATTAACAACCAAATGGGCTTCTATAAGAAAGCAGAAATATGTCAGGAGTTCATGTATGGCATTATACCAACCTGGTACCTCAGTACTGGAGCATACCCGTACTTCTTTCCAGCAGAAACAAGTATATGACTTCCAGTGAAGTATAAAAACTAGAAAACCTAGCACATATTGAATGCGATCACATAGTGAACCATTCCTCCTTGTTGCTGTGCTTCGTTTCAGTTGGCTTGTCCTTTTTTTTTTTTTAAATTTCCACTTTTAACAAAATGAGTTTAACATGACTAAAACACCCACCTCACGAACTTCATTTTCCTTCATAACATGCCTTGTGATATATCGGATAGAGTCTAGAGCTGCTTCCAAGGTGTTTCTAGATGATTCTGATCCGCTCATATTTCCTTTTTCCTCCTTCTGAGCAAAGTATCTATCTACATGACTTCTCATGCAAAGCAGCTTGGGAAGTTTGTGAAGAAATATCTTGCGAACCCAAGGTGCCATAGCATTGTGCGTAGATGAAGAACGGTGATGAATATTGATAGCAAAGACAGTTATCACAATGGACAATGTCACAAATATCATAGTAAACACCAAGTATTCTCCTATAAGTGGAATAACTTTAGAAGACGATGGAATAATCTCTTCAATGACGAGAAGAAAAACAGTCAGAGATACCAGGACTGAAGTGCAAAGGGAAATTTTTTCACCTTCATTTGAAGGAAGATAGAAGACGAGGACAGTTAGAAAAGAAAGTCCAATACAAGGAATGATGAGAAACAATGTGTAAAATAGCGGTAAACGTCTAATTATAAACGAATATGTAACAAAGGGATACCAGCAGCATCCATCAGTTCTATTTCCTTTGCTCCCTGTTGCAGTCACTATTTCCCATTCTCCATTATCAAAAAAGTCTCTTTTGTCAACATCATAATCTTCTAAAATTATATCAACCTGGGAGCCATCGTAAGTCCAGGAACCAAATTTCATAGAGCAGTTTTGGAGGTCAAAGGGAAAGAAGGTTACATCAATAGTACAAGAACTTTTATAATTTGCTGGTGGAGTCCAAGCAATGGTGCCATCATATTTTACCACAGTTTTAGTAGACGTCCCCTCAAAACGTCCATCTGCACTGAAAGAAAAAGAGATATACAGAGGAAGAGATGTTTTGTTACTGTTGTTTCAGCTGTTTGCTCCTTCTTTCTCCCCTTTCACTGCCAAAATTTTGTGTTCACAGTTTACTTCTTGTGGTTGGTTGGTTTTCTGGGGGGTTTGTTGGTTTATGGGTTTGGGGTTTTTTTTGGGGGGTGGGGTTTGTTTTGGTTTTGTTTTTTAACCTGAATCTCACACAGTTAACTACCTTCACAAAAGTGAAGAACATTGCCAAGTCACTACAAGATCTGTACAACTTACAGCAGCCCTGATAACTCAAGCAAGGGATTGTAGAAATCCTGACCTTTAGCGGCCTGACCAAACCCTGATGTTTCTATTGGTAATACAGCACAAATACTTCTAAATCTGGAGAAATCACAATAATTGGGGAAAAGAAACAACCACACCACTTGTGCTCCACTTCCAAGCTTGAAATTATAATCAGCCTCTCTTGACTCACCAAGCCAGAAAATGTTAGAAGTGTTGCATATGCACCTGAATTGATCAGAAAGGTTCATTTGAAACTTATTTCCTCTGGGTTCCATCAATTCTTGAAAAAAACAAACTTTCTGTTAAGTGCATTTCTTTTTAAATCCATGCTAAATATGAGTTACAACATTATGAATTTGTTACTCTCCTCCTGATGCATACTGCCTCTACATTATTAGCTTGCACCCAATGCTGTGAGAGACATCATCTTCTAGACAACGGTTTACAAGAAGAAATGAAAATAAACGTTTTGAAGAGACTAAAAAAGACACAGTAGCAAAATAAAACTTGCATTTAATGTAGCAACAAAATCAATGTGCATTTGGAGGCAAATTCTGAATGTACTACACGTAAATGCATCCGTTCAAGAAGCCTCCTGCAAGCAGACTGGAGAGTAATGTTAGAAAGAGGAAAAGGTATTCTATATAAAAAGATTAAAAACTTACTTGTCATATAACACAATGTCTGGGATCCAAATGGAATCCGATGGGACACGAATAGATGTTATTCCAGCATACTCTTCAGGGTTCCATCTTAATTTTACATCTATCCATTCCTGTAGATGCAAGAAGTGTAGATATCATAATAACGGTGGAGTTTATTTAAGCAGGACATGATCAGATAAAAACAGACATACCGGCAATTTAAAACAAATAAACAAATGCATCACACTTCTGTAAGTTTTCTGAAATTCACATACAACACTGAATTTGCTGAACAGATAACTAACAACATTGTCCAGGATTTGTGTTTTATTATAAGAGCCGTTTGACAGTATTTTGATACAGACCTCATAATATTAAAATCTTTTTTCAGAGCATGTTTACACATGTAAAAGTATTATAAATAGAGATAGCATTTTATATTTGAACTAAAAGCTCTGGAGGGG